ACAAGAAGAGAGGATTATTTTGATCATATATGATCAATATTTTAATAATATTTATCTAAAAACATGAAAACGGTTGTTATAAAATATATTTTTTTTTTATTATGACAAAAAATATGATGATGTGATAACATTTTAATATGCATAGTCTAAAAAAGCATATATGTATAACTGTTTTTGTGTCGACAATGAATAAACTCTCTCCACTTAGTGTTTCAAACTAATATTAATAGTGCATTTTTAGAATTAGAATCCATACTGCATAGCGTAATACTTTCTAATAGTAGGATTAGTTTTTGAAAGATAAAATGAAAAAAATAGTACAAACCATTTGAAAATATCAAATTTAGGTTGTAGCATGTGACAATATATGTTTATATACATAACTAAATCAAGGATAACGAAGCTGACTGAACTAAGTGATTGTTATTAACTTAATGAAACTTCAATAATGTCTTTGTTTGAGACCATGTCGCAAATTAGCAGCTGGTATATTGCTATTCGGACATAAAATACTGTCTTAGTGAAAACAAACGCTCTTGTGTATAGATGATGTTGTCAATGGTGTGTAAATAAAGTGTTATTTGCAAGTTGATTTTATACTCGTACATATAAAACAAAAAAAAATTTTGAAATTATTTTTCATTGTAATCAGAGCCCACAGCACAGCCATAAACAAGGTGACCGTATAAGACAATGCACAGGAGCCGAGCGGGAAGATAATGGGTGAGTTTTTCTTTTTCACAACTTGTGTTTCTAATTTTGTCTTTGCGTTAAGAAAATAATCTGTAAAGGTACACGGGTAATTAACATAGTAATAGCATTAGATATCTAACAAAATATAACCTTAAAACCTCAGATTTTCAAAACATTTTTCCGGATATACTAACTATTACTTAATGAAAATTTGTTAAATAATAGAAATAGCAGGTAAACGCATAGTTTTTTCAAATCAAAATACGTGAGCCTATGATGCACAAGTTAGTGCTGAATCAAATTATGCTACAGGGAAAACAAGCGGAGTTATGATTTTAAAAAAATATATTTTTTGTGATTTTATCATTAGTTTGGGACAAGACTTATACAACAAAATCATTTTAGTATAAGAGGATGCACCTTATAAAACCATGGCAATATTTATAATAACTACTTTTTTCACTATTTCGTCTAGCAACGACGAATATTCGAACTTTCTACACACTTATGGGCCAGCCCTGTATCTTACTCTAGCTTATCCAACGATTTACCGCGCATATCCTTCTTAACCATTGTTTCCCATGATCTGTTTTCTTGTTTTTTTAATTTTTCTAAATATTTTTTTTTTTTTTTTTTTTTTTTTTTTTTTTTTTTTTTTTTTTTTTTTAAATTTTAATGAATCATCGTTACTTTACCTGTATAATTGAAAACGTCTAACGATAAAGAATTTTTTGTATATGTTTGGCATCCAAACGCCTAAATTTATTATTAGGAAGTTCTACTAAAATTATTAACTGATACATTAATTCTCCCCGATATAATAATATACAGGTTTTGGCCACGTACGTCCATAAGAGCGAACCAGTGTGCGGCGGCGTGAACTATATAATAATTTCAGATTTTTGCCGTTGAGGCGCTGCGGTCGGAATTTGTTGAAATCAACTGAAATGCACCAAGCATATACAATGTATTTGAGAAAGGTAATAAAGACAAAGCCTATACACAAGATTTTATAAATTTTATTAACTAGAATCCATATCAAAAAGTGTTTCTTCTTACATAAAGCCTAAATTTACTTACTGGTCGATAAACTAAGAGTTAAAAAAATCGAAAGGTTTATCTAAGAGATAGATATACAAGTAAGTGTTTTTTCATATCAAAAATAACGTTTATCTTTTTAGTCTCGCAATTTTTTCTCCTCCTAAATGCTACGATTTTTCTTTCAGAGATCAAGACATTTACGGTAGTTGTCTATACAGGGTGGCTCATTATTCAAATGAAAAAATCTCCCCAACAGAGTTCCTTTTTGATATTTTAAATTCAGTAGTGAGTATATAAAAATGGTCAAGTTTTAGTACAAACAATGAATCGCCCTGTATATAGTTTATTTTTTCGTTTGTTTTAATATTTCCTTTTCACTGTACAAACTTTTTCCGAAAAAAATAAACGTAAACAACTATTGGCACGTAAACAAAAAAACTAACAACTAACACAAAAATACAGAGAGTATTACAGAAATGTGTTTTTTATAGCATTAATATATATTTTTTTAATAATACCATGTCATCCATAAGTCACCGCATTTTTTTTAAATTCAACAAATAATAAATATTTTTTTAATAAAAATTATAATCAAGAAAAATGAAAAATATATAAGAACTTTATTTTGCATAAAAAAAGTTGATAATTTTGATGTTAAATTTTAATTTTATGGATGACACTGTATACAGGGTGATTCACGACCATGGTACGTTATACGATTTTTTTTAAATTTGGATTTTTGCATAAAGGCACCTGCTCCATCTATATAACATATTTTCCGCATTACAGTGTTGCCGCTTCACTCTAAAAGTGGTAACATCTTTGCTATTTTAAATGGAACACCTGGTATATTATATCTGATAATTTTTCTATTATACTAACCTCTAATAGTTCTAGAGATAAATATAAAATATCTGTAAAATTGACAAAAACATGATCTTGAATAAGCATTTTTTAAATCATAACCACAGCTTAAGAAAAAAACAGCTCGGACAGTGTAGCGTGCCGCTTTGATCTTTTTACGCTCGGATTTGCGATTCGAAAGAGGGAGAACACTAGAGCGGCGAGCTCTCTCGCCACAACCAATAGCCGCGTAAGCGGCAGTCAGCACAGAGATGTATTAAAAAAATTTTTACACGTGACGTAAAAAATTATTCGACTGGTGCTAGAACATAATTTAGATACACGTTTTTTAAATTGTTGACTTTAAATAAATATGCATTCTCAAAGAAAAACATTTAAAAAACAAATTAATTTATTTATTTCTAGAAATAACAGCAAAATGAAATAGGTACATTGATTACTTATAGTTATTTAAGAATGTTTCCAAATTAGGAGCTTTCGGTTTTTGTTTGCTACATTTAAGTTCTTATTAATATTCTTTAAGGTATTAATAAATTAACTTTTGCGTATAATTTTAACAAAAAATACATTATAGGAAAATTTTGACAAGGATGGTTGAATTTAATTGTCTGAAATAATTTAACGAATTTAATAATATATTTTCATTTAAGGAAAGTTCTTCAAAATTGTTCTGATAAATTTTAGAAAAAAACTTTTTTAAAAACAAGTTTTTATTTAAATACACTAAAAAGAATAAAATAAACTTTTTCTTTAAAACTTTTATTATGAACTTATAACGTCATTACACAATTTTAATATTAATATATAAAAGCTTGCCGCGAGATTTGAGTGTACAGTTGCACTCATAAAAATCTGGTACGACAACTTTATCTTGTAATTCCTGGTCTAGTGGTCTATCATAACACAAACTTTGAAAATGAGACAGGGTAGACACAGGTTTTAGTTAATTTACTTGTTTATCGATGTAGAGAAATCTCGTGCCAAGCTTTTATATAATATTAAAATTGTGTAATGGCGTTATAAGTTCATAATAAAAGTTTTAAAGAAAAAGTTTATTTTATTCTTTTTAGTGTATTTAAATTTAAATAAAAGCTTGTTTTTAAAAAGTTTTTTTTGTAAAATTTATTTTCTACTTTTTAGTTATGCTGGTTTCTCAGTGCCACACATTTAAACTCAATTTTTTTCTTAAATAACTTTCTATGGGCATCCTAATAATATGTATATCGATTTTCATTAAAAAAAAGAACTTAAAAAAACGACAGCTGTCAAATTTGACAGTTCAAATGTGAGACAAATAAAATGAAAACCGACTATGGGGTAGGGGGCATCCAATATATCGATTTTTATCAAAATCGGACAAATCTGAAATTTTTTTGACAGCTGTCAAGTTTGACAGCTCAAAATTTTTTCCTTTCATTTTAGCCCATGGCCATCATCGATTTTTATCCAAATCGGACAACTTTGAAATTTTTTTGACAGCTGTCAAATTTGACAGCTCAAAATTTTTTTTCTTTCATTTTAGCCCATGGCCATCCTATATATCAATTTTTATGAAAATCGGTTGACTTTGAAATTTTGACATGTCATTAAACTGTCATTTTTTCAAGATGGCCGTTCATATATTTTTTTCATATGTATATACCCACAATATACCTATATATATATATAATTTTAGCCCGAGCCATTCATAAATAGAATTTTAAAAAATCAAAAACCTCAAAAATGCCGCCATTTTGATAGCTGTCAAAAATTCGGGTCATGCCTTGCAAAAAATGTATTGTCATCGGGTCTGAACCTACATGCCAAATTTCAATCTCCTACAATAAAAGGAAGTGGTTCTAATTTAGCTTACAAGATTTGTCCCGCAAAAACATACATACATACATAGATAGTTACATACAAAGCTTATAAAAATAGCCTCCAATGAGGACACTAAATAAAAAAATGGCCACTTGGCATTAGCAAGCCTCCAAATAAGTGGTCTTTATCGTTTTGAAAAGCTCTAAAGTGTGAATACTTTTGAATTGAACATTAATTTTGAATTGAATTGAAAATTAAACAGACTATATTTTGAATTATTTCCATAATTATTTGTGTAACCAGCAGCCGCACGTCCCGGAAAACCTTTTCCCATTCCAACAATAAAAATAAAATTGAAATAAAAGCACAAATACCTATGGTTAAATATAAGAAAAAATCGAATTAAAATCTTCCGTAATACGGCCCTACACGTCATCGGTGGAGGTTATGCATCGACTGAATGAGGCTGACTGTCGCTCGCTTAATTCAGTTAAGCATCGTCGGAGTGGGGCGTTTTAAATTCGAGCGTGGGAAAAATTGGCGAGTGTCCAAGAAATACATAGGTATAGGTTAGTAAACTAAAAAAAGTATGAGACATAAAAGTAGTTTCCAAAAATCTAATAATATACCGGGTGTTCCATTTAAAATAAGAAAGATGCTACCACTTTTCAAATGATGCGGCAACATTGTAACGGTGAAAATATTTTAGATAGATGGAGCAGGTGCCTTTATGTAAAAATTCAAATTTTTCAAAAAAAAACTATCACCGAATTTCCATAAACTTCTAATGTGCCATCGCTGTGAATCACCATATACATATAATTATGTTGCAAATGATCATACCATTGAATTTACTGTAGAATTACGTAAGGCAAATCAATAAATGTAACAAATTAACAATTTATTACGCAATTTCCTGAATTTATTACGTTATATACCATGCTATGTGTAATAATTACACATTTATTACACTAGAAATAAAACTATTAATTTGTTACATCTACTCATATACAAAAATTTATTTTAAACCAACTGTAGCTTATTACCAAAAGAATTAAAAGTGTTACAAATTAAGAATTTGCTACTTCATTCCTCCAGGGATGGGTATTTAAATTACTCTTCCCGTTTTTTACATTTTGCAAGCAAATATGTGCGTAAAAATCATTAAAACGACCAAACATAGTGAAGCATATTGAAATATCTTTTTTAAAAAGGTTTTTAACAAATAACAGAGTTTTTAGAGAATCTTTAGACCGAAATTTTTTAACAAAAGTAAAAAACACGTTCTTTTTGACTAATTTTTTACGCCAAGATTTTTCTTGCCCATCCCTGGATTGCACTAAAAAAATTATTACATTCTTTACAAGAAAAATGTGTAACAAATTCCCAATTTGTTACAGTTTTTTTTAACAATTATTGAGTAAAATACTCTAAAAACAAGCCTGGTTCAAGAATAGTCTAGATTTCTACAGCTACACAATCATAGACTTATTACATTAAAATTACAGCATAAGAGATCTTTATACTGTGCCTAAAATATAACAAAATAAAACGCAACAACTTTACAAGATTTCTTTAAAAACTAAATAATAATAATAACAACAAGGTGTCGGCCACAGATGTTACATACATATGTACAATTCTTTCTTCACTTTGTATAGGGCAGTATTATTAAGTGTAAATAAAACGTCGAAAATGTGTAAAAAATTGTTATTTTTACACGTAGAAAATCTAGTTTTTTACAACTCCAAACTATTTCTATACCATAAAAAAATCTAGTTTTTACACCTAAAAACTATTTTTTACATGTAAAAAAGACTATATTTTACACGTAAAAATCTAGTTTTTTACGTTAGGGTTTTTTCACTTGCCCATCCCTGATATGAATATAAAAAATTCATGCTGTGAAATCATCGAGAATCTGTGATACGTTCTTTTAAAAATGTTCTGTTAATATATTTTTTTCTGTTTGTGATTCTTAAAATAAATATACTTTCATTAAAAATAATAATGATAATAATATTCTACCTTTGTTCTAGCCACAATTTGTACAGGTTTTTCTCGAAATCGCTCACAGTGGGGCTGTTGTTCTTCATTATGCTTTCTAAGTCATTATAATCGCAAGCTATTGGACTAGGCGGTGGTTGAATCAATTCGTAGTTCAAAGAATCGTTTATTGATTCACTCAGTTGCTCTGATTTACGTTTCTGTCGAATCTTACTGGAAAAGGAAGATTCTCCATTGTTTAGTGTTTGTCTCGCCTTGTATATTGGTTCGTACTCAGAAAGTTGAGCACAGAAACCTTCATTGGGGTTCACAGAAGCCCTTTTTGTTTTCACAAAATTCAACGCCTCACTAAAAGAGATTCAACAAATTAAACTAACATATTTTAATTATTTCCATTACCTTACTTCAAACCAATCCCAAATTTTTCCATGACATAAGCTAGAACTAGGGTTGCACTTCGAGAATTGCCATTGTTTCCATGAACAAGTACTTTAAAATTCTTCGAATGGGCTTCATCAATAAAATTCTTCACTTTTGGGAAAAACCTGATGATATTTTCTGTAACCTGATCCGCTATGTCCAATGTAAGATACGTAAAAGAGGGATCACTAATTTGCGGTCGGATAATATGTGCTTCTATGTCTTGCCGGACACATATTATATATCTAAAAAGAAAAAAAAAATAAGAGGTGTACACCAGCTACAGTTGGGAGAAGAAAAACCTTACCTTATACCCTTATCGACAAGGTTACTGAGGCAGTGAATTTGTGCAGCTGCATAAGGCCCTAAAAATACTCCTGGAATGATTTCTTGCATGTTTGTGTCGCAAAAGTAGTCCCAAGCAGGCGTCGGATACAAAATTGTCGCTCTGTTGCTAGCGTTGTTTATCTGATACAGAAAAATCCTTGAATTTCTAATTTCACACAGAAAAAGTAAGGTTATGAGGCAAAAGCGCCAAAAAAATGTTAGCAAATTTAAAGAGTTCTTTCATTACGTTCTCCATAAGTAGCAGATTTTCAATGAAATATTTATTAACATTAAAGTACAAAAGTTTATCTAAATCTTTTAATGTGAAAACTAAAATTTCTACATACCTCATCTTCATAGTGAGATGGAGTCACATCAATCATGACTGACTAGGGCTACCAGTAAGAAAACAAAAGATATTCTAACAGACGAAAATATACACTGAAAGATTTCCCCACGATTTCCCGAAATTAGATTAATTTGATTGCTAACTCATGGTAAATTTCTGGCGAAAATTTTGGAGGAAACCCATCGCACAACGTACTTCAAACAAGTATGCGACGTTGCCAGGTTGCGAGATAAAGACACGATAAAAAAATATGAGGAAAATGTCAGTTGCATTGACAAAAAAAAACGTTTTTTCCTAAGTTTTAAGCCCTAATTGATGTTATAAACAGTACCAAAATAAATAAAAGTATGAGTGCATTTCTTCAGATAATTTTTAATGTAACAAATAAATTATTTTTTAAACTTTAAATTGGTAGTTTCCTTTTTTATCAACATTCCTTAAAACATGTGACAACATTGAAATTTTATGTCAATTGTCAACTACCAATTGTCAATGTCATAAGTCATCAGTCACTAGTCAGATGTGAAGAAATTGGAGAATTTTGTTGTTGGTTTATATTTAAAAATAATATTTAAACTTATCGATAATGTTTTAATAGTACGTTCTATTCTAAATGTAAAATAATAACGCTTCTAACATGGACAACATTGGGGCCGAAGTGGGCCAAAAAATGCGAGTAAGTATCGATTTCTTTTGCAATGAACAATTCTATTTATAAATTGCTTTCAGAGTGCTATTAAGGCAAAACTAATGGAACTTGACTGCTATGTAGGTATGTATAAGATAAATTTAAGTAAATCCGGCTTAAATAACTGATTAATTTATGCAGACGATGAATTACCTGACTACATTATGGTTATGGTGGCTAACAGACGATCAAAATCACAGATGAATGATGACCTGAACTTATTTCTTTCTTCTAAGACATCTACCTTTGTAAATTGGCTTCATATAGTGCTTAAGAAGCTTAAAGAGGTTACTGTAACTAATCCTGAGATTTATTCGAAAGTTAGTAAACGAAAAAGCACTGATAATCAAGTTGATGATAAAGGTAGCATTAAATTAAAGAAAGAGAAGAACTCCAAGAAGGTACATAGTTTCATAGATACTATAAGGAATAATTCTGTATTTAGATATGTTTTCTAGGTTAAGACAGAAGAAGATTCCGAAATAGTTGATAAAAAACCTGAAGTTACATTAGATTCTAATGAAAAGTCTCTTACCGATGATCTACCCTTAATAGCAAATAAGTTTAGTGATAAAAGAAGGATAGTTATAGAAAATGAAAGTAGTTTGTCGGTCTCAAACAATATCGGTAAGTAAGAACTATCTAATCAAGAAATAAAGTATTAAATATTGAAAAATTTTAGTTGATGATAACTTTGATATACCTCTCCTATCGGAAGTAAACGATAGCTCAAATGAAAAGGAGTTACAAGATATTGAGAGGAAAATTCACAATGTTAAAAGTAGGTTGGGATTGTTGGTTGAAAGTGATAATGAAAATGATGAGGAATGGATTAATAATCAATCAAAAGAAGAAGGTAGGTGTCTAGTATCTGTAGGTCTTATTAAAAAAAATCGAATTTTGTTTTACCTAGTGCAAGCCTAAAGTATGTACTGGGATGTATTTCAATAAAATATTTTAACTTCTACATGATGGATCAAAAAAGTGTTAGTGGATCAGGATGATATTTTTGATTTTTTTAAATGGAACATCCTGTATACTATTGCATTTTTGGATTCCTTTCTGATAATTAGTTGACTTAATCTTAAGATATTTTTTTTGATATTTGTTTTGATAGTTTTTTTAGACGGTTTGAGAGCTACTGTATGATCGATAAAAAACGGCATCCAGTTGGCTTGGAAATGATGATTGTTGACATTTTCTATATAATTTTACATATAAAATGACAGCGATCTTCATTTCATAGCCATCGCTGACGCTGTTTTTTTTTGACCAGACGGTATTTATAAACAAATGAATAAAACATATATTTATCAGTCTTTTTTAAAAAAATTATTAAAAATACAAGAACTGTCCTGAAATCAAAACTATACTAGGTATTTGTTATAGATGGTATGTACTTATTTTGCTTTAAATATCGTGATTTTAAATCATACAGGGTGTTCAAAATTTCTCGCCAAAATTTCTAAAATATCAAATAATTTTTTTTTTAATTTTTTTAAAGGGATGTATTTTTGTTAAATGCAGAATTAAAATTATATAACTCTTCTTGTATTTAAAGTATTTTTAAATTTTTAAAGGTTTCGCAAATATTAAGGTTATTTATTACCTTAGGTTCTTTCATCAGTAAATTTTTGTCAGAGCGACCTAATTATTTTTAAAGACTAATGTCATGTACGGAAAACACAAATTTTCCTGCGGATATGCGTAATTTCCAAATTTCGCACTTTAGAATAACTGAAATCTGCTATAAAAAATACATTTTGCGTTTTATTTTTAATATTTTTCTGAACATAATATAAACACAAAAATTTTCCTGCGTTAATAAGCTGTTTTCATTTTCTAAGGAAATTTATTAGACTTTAGAATAGATGAAATCAGTTATATAAAAAATAAATATATTTTTGCTTTTTAGAAGCCTTTACAAACGCAGGAAAATTAATAATTTCCTGCGGAAATGCCTGTGCCTGATTTTCATTTTCCATTTTTGTAAGCATAAATACATAAAAAATTATCACTTTTGAACTAAAAAAATCATTTAAAAGTGTCTAAAATGCTAACCAATCTAATAATATTTTTACAAAATCACAGTTAATTATTAAAATATAAAAATCACAGCTTAACACCCTCCACAAAGAAAAGCTAACCAAAGCAACCCAAATGCTAACCAACCTAATATTTTTGCAAAATCACAGTTAATTATTGAAATATAAAAGAAAACTGCATGATCCAATGATTTTTTGTTTTGAATCAGCCCTATTTACGTAAAGCTTTAATAAAAAACAAGAATAAGTGCAACATTCCGAGGTACTTATAGTTTACAAGAACCTATATTATCTATTCTACAAGAATTGTTATTCCTCCGAAAGATGTTTTACCCCACCCAACACCTCTATTCGCTCCCGGGTCCCGTAAGCCAAGGATACTATAGAGATAAGGATAGTTCGATTCCTATCTTCCTGCACTGTCAGTTTTTTTACGTCATCTACTGACCGAGTTGAAGTTGGCGCTAAAGATTTTAGACAGTGACAGTTATTTTTGCATTTGACGGACGAGCGCACAGTGCGTTGGAAGATAAATTTAGCGGGACAAAAGCGTTTGGTTAGAAATAAGCCAAAAAATGTGTACTGATAAGAATAAATAGTAGACATTCCAATTGATACAAAAATGCATGAATATTCTTTGTATTTCGATACATTTTTATCAACCAAATTTGGTCGTTTTCTGCTCAGCAAGGCAGAGATCATACGAAAACAAAATATTTACAAGTGCTTATACATTTTATTAGAAAGCCAAATTATGTTGAAGATTGCCAAAGGTATGTACTTTTCTACTGTACGTATATTATTTGTTAAAATCCTTCGTGCCTTTGTTCTGCAGATATCAAACTTTCACTTTTTTTTCAAATATCGATATATTGAATGATGTAGATCAACTCAAAAGTTACCAATAGTTACCAACACAGGTAGTCACAGTCACAGGGAATTCAAGCTTAACAGGTGAATGCCCAAAAAGATTCATTTCAATCGGATAGTATAAAAACAAAACAACTCCATTAAAAGGCACTGAGTTTAAAAAATTGTCTTAGATACTTACTATATATGAATTTACAATTACCGAGTGTTAAAATTAAAATTAAAATATTTATCTCATTTATTATTTTCAAAATAAAATATATTTTTTAAAAATAAATTATAGAGATTACGAATTAATTAAAAAAGATTACAAATTAATTAAGACACAAGATTACAAATTAATTTAAAAAAAACTGCTAAAGAGTTTTTTGATATCATAATTTTATGTATTTGGCAATAGTTTACAATACGGTTTTTGTGTGTCATTGTAGCGTTTTTTAAACCACTACCACTGCGAACGGCAGCTTTTCATCGGAGAGCAGTCGTGGATAAGGTATTTCACTAGAGAGAAAATGAATCAGTAATAATTAACAAAAGATATATAGATATTGGGCGCCAAGCATGTACAGAGAAAAAAAACACAGTTGTGTAATACTTAAAACTAATGACTATATTTATTCATGACGTTCTTTGCTGATACATGACATTTTAGAGTTCTAGTAAATATATAGTGGTTATATGTCAAAGAAAGTGGTGGTAGGAGTCGTACTAAATATCAATGAAAACAACTACGGTAAAATACAGGACATGTAAAGTTTAAGAGAAAATATGAAATGTAGCATTACTTTAATTAATTTGATATATTCCATATGATGCTAAATCGAAGATGTTACACCTGTAGATTCTAGAATCTATGTTTGATTATCCATCTATTAAAATAGTGCAATAATATCTATAAAAGTAATAATACATAATCAAGGGTAATACCATTACAAGATGTAATGCAATGAAACCTAAGATCTAAATTATATTTTAAAGATTATATCGACATGAATGTTCTTAACAATCTAACCACTGAACATAGTCTGTACGATATTACTTAAGATGTACGTTACTGTTTAAGACTGAAAATATTTTAGCTGTTAAAATGTAAAACTAGAACTTAAATATACACTTAGCTGTTCTTTTATGTAACCTTGTTTCAAACAGTAGCAGCGTGAGGTGGTCTAGCATCTCTGTACTGTCTGTCGGCGATCCTGTTGGTCAAAACAACAAAAAAAGGGGCCAGATTGAGGACACCATGAATCCTTACAGCCGCAGCCACTGATCAGGCTTAGAAATGGGAGTGAAGCAGCATGGGACTCAAGCTACATCCACGCTGTGGCACTTAGATGCAAGAAAAAATCGCTCTCACTGGGGACACTTGTCCACAGGACATCCGTACATAAGATAATGTCTGTACATAAGACACTACCCGTACCTTGGAAATAGTCCGTACCTTGGACACTGTTCGTACCTTGGACCCTAAAAATATGAAACTCTTGTTTAAAACCAAACAAGATCTTATAAACAAAATGAACCTACCTCGAATTACTTCCGAGGGCTCACTAAATAATAAAGAACCTGTCCTTCCTTCCATGTGACATTCTGGAGGACAAAAGAAAAGGGACGCCAACGTGCCAGCAAAATACAATTACAAGTTAGGTTGGGGCATCCGCAACTCTACCCTAAAAATACGCAGTAATAGTAACGAATCTAAAAGGATAATATCTCATCTTTACCTGTAGCTTCGAAATAGCAGCTGATTCAGATTATACAGCAAGATTTAAATAATCACCATTTCTCAAAAACTGGGACTAATGGCGTCTGACAGGCCAAACGTTCTAACCAAAAGTGAAGTTAAATCACAGAGAGTTGACAGAAGCGACGTTGACAGAGCGCGCCTCCACAGAGCGATAACAGGGTTGTGTCAAACGAAAACAGGGTTGTGGACTAGAGAACGTAACAATTCGTCAAATAAATCATCAGGCCCGAACGATACGGAATCGTGTGACGATATGCCAGACATCATATATTATATATAAAAAAGACATGTAACGAACTAAAAACGTTACATCATGTACGAATAATATCATAGTTTTATTATCTTGTATTTATTTATTAATAAATTAAGTTGTTAATAAATAAATAAATTTAACCATATAGTTGCTCTATATTAGACCATTTGCTACGTTCTTAGATTTTAAGTCCCAAACATTGCTCTTGAGATTTTGTCCCGCTAGAATAACCATCCGCCGCACTGTGGAGCGCTGGTCAGCGCGTGACGTAGCATTCCACGGCGACTACGACAGCGGCGATTTGACGCGATCGAACCAGATCGAACAGTCCTAGAATATATACAGTCCTTGCCCGTGTGTGACTTGCCAAAGTGACATTGACACATTTCCGCAGGAATTTTTTTGTATTTCTTTGCTCGTAAAGGCTCGTATAAAACAAATACAAGTTCATTTTTCATGTAACTGATTTCGGCTATTCTAAAGTCAAAGCATTTTTTTATGTAAAATAAAAATAAAAAATTTCCGCAGACACTTTTTTGTGTTTTTATGTTGTTTAGAAAAATGTCTAAAACACACCCCGAAGACTAGTTTTGATGTAACAGATTTCGGCTATACTAAAGCCCGAAAAATGAAATTGACGCATTTCCGCACGAAAATTTTTGTATATTTGCACTCCTAACGCCTTCTAGAACGCATATATAAAGTCATCTTTTATATAACAGCACAGATTAGGTATCCTATAAGTATACAGATAAAATCTTGTCCCTAATTCGTGGTACGAAAATTGTTTTTTATGACGATGTGCAAACGAGTCAAATTTCCTGTGCGCAAAAATAAACTCGCGTAAAATAACAATAAACAGCGTAATAGAGAGATATCGCTAAACCGAATAGCGTGCATGGACGTTAATAAGGCCAGGTGTTATTTCCTTTACGTGAGGTGGTATTAACTCTCTTCATTTATAGTTATCGGATCGGAAAGAGTTCTGTTCGCGTCGCGTCCGCTATTTAAACTTAACCTAACTTTGAATTTAAAACTTTGACATTGTTTTGTTTACTAGGTATTTTAAAACTAAAGTGCTTATTTCCAGTGCTTTATTGTTCAACGTCTGCCAGTGGGTTTAGGGCAACAAGCAACAAACAACAAATTCTCTTAGAAGGGCTAAGTCGTCATCTGCTGTAAACCTATGACTCTTTATAGGTTCTTTAGTATTGGAAGAGGTGGAATCCATATTTTGGCCTATATTTATTTAACTAAAACTAATCCCAGCTACTTAAATATCAAATTACCTAATAAAACTAAAGCAATAATTCAAAACAATTCAAACATAACCTAAAATAAAAGATATCGCCGGCCGGCTCCGGTTGTCAAATACCCGCACATGCCCATTTAAGCAATTTTTAAACGTTATCAGAGGTTATTTAGAAAGAGCGCTTGGTGTAATTGATCCGCAAATTACTCAGGCGGTAACGTTATGAGCGGGTGTTGCGTTAAAAATTGACTCGCGCATATCGTAACCATGATAAGGTACGCGTAAATACTGGATGACGCTATTCGGTTTTCCGATATCTCTCTAATAACTGTGCCGGTCAGGCGCTGTGCACAATTTTAGAGGCCATAAGTGGGCGTGCTATGTGCGCAAACTAGTCACCTAACTAGTGCCCGATTCCGAAAATTGGAACCACGAAAAACAATAAAGAAAAAACAAAGATAGATAAGATCTATATAATCTGTGATAACAGATTTCAGCTAAACGAAAGTTGAGCTGTAAAGGGTAATTTACATTTTTTTCCTTAAAATTCTTATTTAAGTGTGATTCTTTCGACTGATATAAAATAAGTACAAAATTTGAAGGATGTTATAATCTTTCAGATAATCCATTAGCCCATACCAGGCAAGTCAGTGTTATAAAAAAGAAAATAAGCGGCTCGGAACTGACTAAACTTGCCGAGTCACTGCTTGCCGCTGAAAATATTGAGGAAACCGACCAACAAAAAGAAGAAACAACCGAAAAAAAATCAGTTCATCAGAGAATAACTTTTGAAAATGACTTTAATAATGACAGTAACGCTTTAAAAAGTGACAAATCAGTTGTGAGGAAATCTTCAGTACTCGATAGACTCGGAAAGAGAACTGGAAGTCCGGATTTTTATGGAGAGCCGAGAAAAAAGGTTAGCCTATCGGAGTATAGGAGGGAGGAGGAAAAGTATACGGGGTCTGTCAGAAGTAAGAGGAGGAGTAGTTCTAGAGATAGGTCGAGAAGTCGAAGGTATAATGACAGGAGGAGTGGGAGTAGAGAGAGAAGTCCAAGAAGGACTAGAGGGAAGGAATCCAGAAAAGAGGTAAGTAGTTTTTTATTTTTATTTTTGTATAATCGCAAATAATAAATTCACCCTCGAGAAGGGATGAAATAAATAAATAAAATTATTTTTTTGAAATTTCGGTTCCATTAAGTTCAAATAAAAGTTCTAGAGCGTTCAATTTTACCTAAAAATGGTCTCTATAATAGCTTCTGAATAACGGTCTAGGTAAAGCATCTAGCTTATTTACCAGCTCAGAATTAGAATTTAAAGTTAGTAACTCGCATTTTTTTTTGGAGGACACTGTCATATTTACTTTAAACCAATAATAAACGAGAATATTTGTATAATTTAATAAAATTACCAGGGTTGGCATGATTTAAATCAAGTTATTTTTTTAATTTTAATCATTTGATTTATATCAAAAAAAAATATATTTTATTGAAACTTTGTAATAAATAAAAAAATAACTGTAAAAGTTATAAAAATGTGTCCTAGAAAACTATATAAAATATTTGTATCACAGATATAACAGATAATAAATCAAAAAATAATTGTAAACTTTATAAAACTATATAAAAATAACTATTCATCAATTTAATTGTTGGACCGATTTTTAACTAATTTCGTGTGAATTCCGGGGTTGGCAAATATCATAATATTTATATAAATATCAAATATCGGATATACAAGGTGTTTCAAAACAAATGCGAAAAACTTCAGGGTGTGATTCCTTGTTCAAAATAAAGGGTAGTTTGCTTCATAAACGTTGGGTCAAAAGTCAACCATTAGGGAGATATCGCGGTACAAAGATGGCGGAAAAATAATGTTTTTATTTTTTATCTTGAAAACGAAAAGAGATAGACTAATGAAATTTTATGGAAGCATTACTGTTATGAAAACACCATTTCTGGTAATTTTTTCTCTTTTTTAAAATGAGTGGAAGGGGTTTAAATAAACTACCCCTATCATTCTTGTTAACGAAATTTAAAGAAAAATCTTATCAAACACATGCAAAAAAAAAATTAATTCTGATAGTTTAGTTTGTTTAGAAACTTTTTATCTCTTGTATTTTTTTTGATAAAACTCACCGATTTGAAATTAAAAAATAAAATGTAAAGCATTACATGTCAGGACAAAAAACATCTTCTGATAAAGAATCTAGTGGGCTGCTGTAATTTTTTTAGGAAAAAATCTAGTCGGCCGCTGTTATTTTTTAGGATGTTTCTAATATTATTTTATTTGACATTACTCTACCGCAATACGTTATTATCTAGATGATTATTATTATCGTTATTTTCTTTCTAAGATTCTGAATCTAAAAATGTGTTTTGTCCTGACATGTAAAGATTTACATTTTATTTTTTAATTTCAAATCGGTGAGTTTTATCAAAAAAATACAAGAGATAAAAAAGTTTTTAAACAAACTAAACTATCCAAATTAATTTTTTTGCATGTGTTTGATAAGATTTTTCTTTAAATTTCGTTAACAAGAATGATAGGGGTAGTTTATTTAAACCCCTTCCACTCATTTTAAAAAAGAGAAAAAATTACCAGAAATGGTGTTTTCATAACAGTAATGCTTCCATAAAATTTCATTAGTCTATCTCTTTTCGTTTTCAAGATAAAAAATAAGAACATTATTTTTCCGCCATCTTTGTACCGCGATATCTCCCTAATGGTTGACTTTTGACCCAACGTTTATGAAGCAAACTACCCTTTATTTTGAACAAGGAATCACCCCCTGAAGTTTTTCGCATTTGTTTTGAAACACCCTGTATATCAAGTTTTGATATTTATTTTTGTTTCTATTTTTTATGTAAAACTGGCGTTTAGTATCAAGTAAAATCAAGAGCTCAAGCAAATATTTTTATTTCAACTTAATTATTGTTGCTTTGCACATAATAGGAACAACATTAAAACATAAATATATAAATATATAAAAAATATACAGAAATTCTAAAAAAATAAACAGAACTTCTAAAAAATAAACAGAAATTCTAAAAAAATAAACAGAAATTCTTAAAAATAAACGGAAATTCTAAAAAATAAACGGAAATTCAAAAAAATAAACAGCTATTCTAAAACTAACAACAAACAAATTTATATTTGATTTATTAATTTTATTAATGGTAAATCATCGTCAGATTCGTCGGCAAGGTTTTCGGTACATTTGAATTTTCCCAGATCCAATCAATATTATCTTTTTTGTTTTTTTTTTCATTCTGATTGTTGTATTTAAATAAAAAAGTCAATTTTCCAGCTTTTTTGTTCCATGTTGACTTTTTTAACGTAGAAATTTAAGAAAAGAGTTGAGTTTTATTTTATTTTATAAATATCATGATATATATCAAAGACATTATAAAGATAGACCGAACATCTCATTCATAAATACTCGTTGGTAGTGTATCAAACATTCCAATGTGTCAAACAAGGACAGAAGAGACAGAGAAGTCTAAAATTTCCGACCCCGGTAACTAGGCGCATTTGGGATTGTTCTAATGGCCAGTGACGTATCGTTTTTTGGAGCGAGTTTAATTAGTAAACTAAAAGTAAATTAATTAGTAAAATTTTTACTCCATATTAATATACTACATTAACACTTTTTCGTCAGATGAGTTTTGTTATAAGGTCTAATATAATAATACAATTAATATCCCACATATACTTATGTTGAAACGTTAGTAGTTTTCGAAAATTACTCCAACGTCGATTTTCAATTTAAACTTTCAGTTACTTCTATATAACCTTTCAGTTACTTTTGGATATTTACAGGGTGACTCAGGCTTCCAAAACAGTTCTATATTAGGTTTGTGGTTGGTGACTTTTCTTTCAATTTTTTTTTCAGAATATGGAGGCATTTAGGCACATATTAGACATTTTTGTAAACACAGGTGGCCGGAACATATTTTCAAACCAAAGTTGTAGATTTGCCATTAAATTTCCATTCCAGAAATACCTAGGGTTGCCACTTGTCCTTTTTTGAAAAGGACAGTCCTTTTTTGGAATAACTTGTCCTTTTGACTTTTTTTGACTTAAAAAGTCATTTTTATTTACGTATTTTCCCTGAGAAAATTACCTACAGCAAACAGAAATATTCTTTTCGCCCAAATTTAATTAGGAATGTTATAAAACTTAACTTATAAATAAATTTTTCTTGTTTAGATTGGCAACATTATTTAGAACTTCCCGTTTAATCTCAAATGATAGTTTAGGTTTTAGTTTTACCTTTTTTTTATCTTAAAAAGAGCTTTTCAAAATTAGTACCTAATTAGTACCGATTTAGTTAGTTCGCAATCGATAGCTTCCTGTGAAGTACTGTGTAATAGTTGTTTAATCTTGTATTATTAATAACTTTCTATACCTAAAATCAATATTTAATGAGAAAATTGTGTTTTTTTTTGAAAATATAGAACAAGATTTGACTCTCTCTCTTTCGGTCTTCTTCTTGTATTATGATGGCTCTGATACGAGGCAATTGCCTTTTAGTCTCGCAATAGAAGGCATTTATCATTAAAAGTATAAAATCTGTGTGCTACAGTATGGGATTTCTGTCGAATAATAATGAATACCTATTACGTTTATTTACAAATCCATTACTTTTAAAGGGAGCTTCATCAGATAATCAAATTTTAGTTAAATGTCCTAATCTTCATGAACTGTATTAAGCATATGTGTTGCGGTTTGAATCACCCTGTATGTTGACAAAAATATTTTGAAAATGTGCGTTACAATGGCCCCCATCTTATGTAAAAAATTGAAATAAAAATCACAAACCAAAAACGTAATAGGTAAAAAGCTTTTTTGGAGGCCTGGGTCACTCTCTATATAGGTATGTATAAAACTAGTAGCCTAAGAATTATTTACAGTTCGTCCCATTCTAAAAAAAGTTAAACACACCGTACAAATAACTCTAGGAAGATGTATTTGTACGGTGGTAAAAAATTGTCTAAACAAGGCCGAAGGGGCAGATATAATAAGCAATAAAATGTAAAAAAGGTCGGTAAACACCTTTGTTTATTTGTTGAGCAAAATTCCTTTAGAATATCGTATATAATGACCGAAATAGGACGCAATTTTAAGAAAAAAATGTCACTTTCTGGCTTATAATAAAGTTTCAAATGTAATGTTTATATTCAAATTTGTTATGATCTACAACAGTTAGGTAGTAATTGAGACGAATTATAATTCAATTACCAGCTACTACGTTCTTGTTTTAATAGATCAAAATTCAACAAATATAATTAGAAATTATTTTAATTGTGAGAGGTTCCCTTGTGGGACGCCTATGTACGATTACGGCGCGGCGGAAATAATACCTACCTATGAAAAGACAAATTCGGGTAATTTGAGCTTATTTGTCTACACATTTGACACTGTCGTACCATATTGAAAATACGCAGATTCAAAAGTACATTAAACAAAAACAAAAACTACTGAAAAACAATGAAAAGTTCACTTCGGACTTGATTCCGACTTCAAACACACCGTAAGCTAACGTAGTACGCTATAACGGATCATGGGCCGTCGCGAGGGGTGGTGGGACGGACGGCTCATTTCATTCTGGAAGACTAGCAGCGACGTTGCCAGTAGTTCTAGACGTTTCAGCACATTAAACAGTAAACATAACTCTGGTTAATAACCATATTATTACGCATGCTTCTTTAAAAATAAACTATTAATTTAATTAAGAAATTGAGATTTATTGATATCCGGTGAAGGTTTTAAAGTCACCTTTTCTGCAAATCAAACTAAGTAGATAGGCGCAAATTTGATATGTGGCAATGTCGCCTTCTCTATCTCAGTTGATTTTTACAGTACGTAGTCAACCTCCGAATGTTTGATCGGGTTAAAATGCATAATGTGATATCTGTTCTTCCTAAATCTATGATATATATCAAGGTATAAATATCATGATATATATCAATGATATATTATATCCGATATATATCATTGATATATATCATGCCAACCCTGGCTCTCAAAATGTCGCAATTTTTTTTTTAAACTTTCAAAGTTAAATAACTCGGTTATTTTCAATCTATTTTAAAAATGGTAAAGAGAAAATATGTTTCTTTTGGCCAGATCTACCACCCCTTAAAATATCTGCACTCATTTCTGGGACACCCTGTATATCTCGCGATGCGGGACTTAATATCTTACCGCTACTTTACGACAAGTCGTATTTATATATTCTGCGCTGTGCTCGTCGTTTTGTGGAAATACCCAAGCTCACCTGATGATGGGGTAGGGCCCCGAAACCGGTAGTGAGAGCAGGTTGATCCACATTATGAAGAACACAGCGTGGAATTAATTTCTATATTAGCAGTTCAGGGCAAGAAACTCTTATATAATTTTATTATATATCTCTCTATACCCATGGAATATTGACATTCTGTATAAGGCAGTATTTTGTTTATTAATGCAACACAATATCTGATCAATAAATAAACTTCAGTAAATATTTAGTATTAAAAACTTTGATAGCCTTTAGACATGAGGCTTTCAAATTTTTACTACAATTTCATAAAATTGAAAATATTTCAAAAAAGGTTTAAGTGTGATAGTCCTTAATCAAATTTACCTTTATTTCAATCGTAGAATCTAAAAATATAGTAACACACAGGGTCTCTCATTAAAAAAACACATAACACTATAATTCCAATGGCACAAAATTATTATTGATTGTCGTTCCACAGCCAGTTTTTTTACAATACTCCATATCGAAAAGCATAAAAATATTGTCTGTATTGAACAAAAAAACTGAATTGAAAATATTTTTTATTTTTTGCTTAATAGGGTATATTGTCGAGACTGGGTGTCCAATCTAAAGTGGCCGTCATTAAAAAGCCGGAAACGTCAGAAAAAAGTGATGATGAGGAGGAGAAAATTGTGAGGGAAGTGCCCAGTTTGATCAAGGTCAAGCCCAGGGTTATACCGAACGATGTTGCGGCACAGGCCAATAAGAATTTACTTTTAAAGGCTGTGGCCGAGGCTCAGAGGAGTATCGCGCAGACGCCAACAGTTGGAAATAATTTGAAGGTAAGTAAATTGTCATTTTTTGAAGTTTTTTGTCATTCTGTCTAGGTCCTGGCGTTTTTAGATATATTTAAAATTTTTGTTTAATTTCAAGGATGGGTGGGCAAAAAAAACTTGGTGTAAAAAAACGATTTTTTACGAGGTACGATTTTTATGGTAGTTTTTTTATGTCCTGACATTTTTAGATTGATTTGAAGTTTTTGTTTAATTTCAGGGATGGGTAGGTAAAAAACGTGCAAAAAACTGGCTTTTTACGTGTAATATACCTTTTTATAGGGTACGTTTTTATGTTTAATGAAAACGTATACAACTAAAGTGTGTTATATTATATGTTTTTGTCGTTGTATCACAGTCCTGACAGTTTTATATAGAAGATTTGAAATTTTTGTTTAATTTCAGGGTTGGGTAGGTAAAAATCCTTTGCATAAAAAACTACATTTTTATGTAAAATATAATATATCTATATTTTTACGTGTAACTTTTTAGGGTTCCGTACCCAAAGGGTACCGAAAATTTTTGTTTAATTTCAGGGTTGGGTAGGTAAAAATCCTTTGCATAAAAAACTACATTTTTATGTAAAATAAAATATATCTATATTTTTACGTGTAACTTTTTAGGATTCCGTACCCAAAGGGTACCGAAAATTTTTGTTTAATTTCAGGGTTGGGTAGGTAAAAATCCTTTGCATAAAAAACTACATTTTTATGTAAAATAAAATATATCTATATTTTTACGTGTAACTTTTTAGGATTCCGTACCCAAAGGGTACCGAAAATTTTTGTTTAATTTCAGGGTTGGGTAGGTAAAAATCCTTTGCATAAAAAACTACATTTTTATGTAAAATAAAATATATCTATATTTTTACGTGTAACTTTTTAGGGTTCCGTACCCAAAGGGTACCGAAAATTTTTGTTTAATTTCAGGGTTGGGTAGGTAAAAATCCTTTGCATAAAAAACTACATTTTTATGTAAAATAAAATATATCTATACCGTTCGGTACCCTTTGGGTACGGAACCCTAAAAAGTTACACGTAAAAATATAGATTTTATGATAAAAATTTTTGTTTAATTTCAGGGTTGGGTAGGTAAAAAAAGTTTAATATTATCTTTTTATTAAGTTCATTTTACGTGTATTTTACGCCACAACGTAAAAAATAGAAGACCCAAGGACTATCCTGCCATCATTTTTATTGAGCCAAAACGTCGAAAAGATGAAAATACTCATGATTTCTATATTTTTATATTTTTTTAACAATTTTAACTAAAGTAACAAATGGAATTCAGCTGTCAAAAACCGTCCTATTTCTTTACAGCCTGATGCATTATATACAAAGAGGTTTAAAGAAAAAAATGGGGATCAGAAAGATAATAATTCTGTTAAAAGGATTGATGAAAAGGAAAAATCCAAATTAAAATCACTAATTCAACAATCTGGTAGTAGGATGAGGAGCTCACTAAACGTGAGCAGCGATGAGTACGACTCTGACGGAGAATACATACCGAAACCAGTGAGAAATGTTGAAAGGTAAGTGTAACATAAATAATAAAAATTTAAATTTATTATTTTTTGATTTTTTCCCTAATTTTAAATACATAGTTTCCATAGCTTTTCATTAAAAAAATTAGTTAGGAACTTACTCAAATATCTACAGTGCGTTCAATAAGTATATTATGTTTCTCAGAAATTTTTATTTTTACTTATATACTATAATCAATTTACTTATTTTTATCTGCAGAATATTTTGTTGAAGTTTTCTTGTTACAATTCGGACCACCCTGTATAACTATAAAAATTAGTAATTTACTCCTTCCCTAGTTTTTTTTTGTTCGTTGGGAACGTGTAAGACATTAAAAAAGGGATCACTCTGTATATTATTATGTGAAAACCGTCCATACATATTTGAAAACATATAAATATTTCAACAAAAACTAATTTTTTTAGAAACCTTCCTAAATATATACCATCGGTGAAAGATAATAATAAAGAGTGCGACGAATCTCATCAAAACAACAACATCGTTGAAACAAAATCAACAAAAATCGTTGAAGATCAACAACAAAACAACAAACAGCAATTCATTATAACGTTAGACGGGATCGATAAAACGCCGTTTACGGATAAGAAAATTTCGGCCAAAATGAGGTATAAAACTTCTTAATGGAAATATATCGTACTATCGCACGATCGAGGGAAAAAAAACGGTGTCTTATGGTCTTCGAAATGATAATCAGTAATAATTTTTTGTGTCCCAAAAATAATATTTAAACGGATAAAAGCGTACAAGTTTTTAGACCCACAAATTATCATAGATTGTCATTTCGAAGGTTACCATGACAACGGTTTTTTTTCGATCATACAGTACTTTGTTTTTGGAGATTCATACAAAACATACAGATGCTTATTCTTTAACGATATTTTTGATATAAAGCCCCCTTTACACGTAACGCTTTACCTGTCGGGTTAGACGGATTAAACAGGTACCTTAAAATTTTGATGTACATATTTTAAAATTTTATAAATTGCGTTCTAGTGGACCGAATTTGATGATTTTTTAAGCAGTATGTAGCTAAATTATTTGACTTTTTAGTATCTCTTTCTAAATTAAAAATGAAAGTTTCTATCTGTCAATTATACGAGGGGAAACAAAATGTTGATATTTTGGTGAAAGTTTGAAACACCCTGTGGAATATGTTAAGACAGCAAGGAATTTACAAATAATTTTATCGTCCAGGGACGAACTTTTTCGTTAGTTTGTTTCTTGGTTCATCTCGATAGCTTTATTTTTGTTGGAGATATTCGCTTTTGAAGAAGACACTCACATTTTTTCGTAATTTATACATTAAAACCATGCCTTAGCTTTTGGTTCCAGTCTCTAGATACATTTTGACTGAACAGGTAAAATTTTATGTGTAGACTGAGCATAAGATCCTAAAAAAACATTTAATAAACCAATGCTATCTGTATGTTTTTATAACTCAAAACACCCGGTATTAGCAGTTATTTTGTTTGTAGGCTCGAAGGCAGGAAAACTCCTTCGCCCATTGTGTTTGATCACAGCGTAATATCGGACAATAAAGTTAAAGTTAACCCTACACGATCTGATTTGCCTACACGTGCCGACATACCGGACACGCTGCCCGTTGTTCACGTACCTTTAGCCGTCAAAAACAAAGAGAGGTAACACTGTTTTTGTTTGATTGGTAGATTTTTGGTAGTTTTTTACTTCTGAATTGCTTATTAGAAATAATGTTTAATGATTATGTATGGATGGATTATTCACCATCATTAGAGGTTCAGTTTTAGTAGTTGCCTTAAAAATAATTCAGAATCTTTACGTTTAATGTAATTTTTTAATGTTATTTTTTAATCTTTAACAAGGTCGGATTTGATCTGCTTTAATATTTAAATACTTTGTAGTATATTGTTTTTAGAGTTTTTTTTAAATACAAAAATTATATATGATCGTCATATTTAAATTATATATGATCGCCATGTATAAAATTATATATCGTTCATATTATATAAATTATACAGGGTCGTTGATGTATGGAAGCGGTCGATTATTAGGTAAAATGTACGAGGTACCGCAAAAAGTTATAGGGTTTTTAATGTCTATTAGCAAGTAATAAATTTTACTATACAGGATGTCCCAGAAATGAGTGCAAATATTTTAAGGGGTGGTAGATCTGGTCAAAAGAAACATATTTTCTCTTTACCATTTTTAAAATAAAATGAAAATAACCGAGTTATTTAACTTTGAAAGTTTTAAAAATAAATTGCGACATTTTGAGAGCCGTCGGGGGAAATCGGCAATTTCCCGGATCTCGCCTTGTTCACCGCCCGCTGTTGCCGCAACTAGAAAGTCTTAAAAACTACTTGCAAAATTCCATAACATTAAGTGCCCCTACACCTTCCAGGAGGAAGTATGCAAAATTCACACTTTAGGTAGAGTTTAGAAGCATATCCACCTTCTTCGGATTTGTATAGGCCATCGCTTTATGTAGGTATGTATGTGTATCGCTATTAAATTTAAACAAAAATACACTTCTAAAATGATTATGAAATAGAAAAATAAGAAAATTAGGGTACTTTATCAGTTGTATTTACATTCCAAGTTATGCGACTATGTTGTATAAACGCATATTAAAATTTTGATTGTGACTGTGCTTATGCTTAATACAAAAATTAAGATTATGATTGCTACTATGTTGCAGTCCATTAAAATTATTACTGTGAATTTATAAACATTTAGAGTGTAGGTATGGTAGGAAGTGGCAACATTGCATTCACTCCGAGATTCTCTCCATGCACGGTAAACGAATTTCCGGAGAGTGAACAGTGGCACTCAAAAGTTTTTCAAAATTTTCCGGAAAATGTCAAGAAAAATATAAAATTTCCAACATTTTTTTTTCGCATAAAAAACCTCATAGGCGTGTTTCTGGGGTTGAACTATACTACCAGTTAAAATATTTGCACTCATTTCTGGGACACCCTGTATATGGTCGGTCATAAAGTCGTGGCACATCAAAATTTATTTTTTTTTAAATGGACCCCCTGTATATTATTGCATAATATTTCATTTTTTCCTTCACTTCTAAGCAAAAATCGAAATATTCACAGACACAATGTACCTCAAACCAATCGTTTCCGAGTTATTGACTGTTGAAAATATCACTTAAACCATTCGATTTTACTATAATAACTACTATAACTTTTCTATTTCATTTTTGCGGTTACTTGTATATTTTACCTAATAATTGACCGTTTCCATACATATCAGCGATCTTGTATATGATCGTTGTAATATGTGTTTCATATATAATTTTTATATTAATCATATATAATTTGATATAACGATATATTTATATATTTTAGATTTTCAATATGTATTAATAATTAAAATATATGTTATGCAAATTTTTAGTGTTTTTTTTTTCTTTTATAGGTGTAAATATTGGCCAAACTGTAGACAGGGAGACAAGTGTGAGTTTGTGCATCCCAGTCAGAATTGTGAGGCGTTTCCTCACTGTAAGTTCAGAGAAAAATGTCTGTTTCTTCACCCACGCTGTAAATTTGGTAATTCTTGTACCAAGAGGGAGTGTCCTTATGATCATGTCAAGTCACTGTCAAGTAAGTATGCTACACTATTTTTTTTTAATTTCTATTTTTTATATCACAACCCAAACAAGTTTTCACCTTTCTACCATCAACCCCTATTTTTTAATAGCGATATTAGTAATTTAATAATAAGTCACGCTGGGAAATGTTTAGCTTTAGGGCTAATTTTCTTAAGAGACTTATATGTTATAACACGGTAGTGCAATGCAAAATTTTATTCAACAGCAGAACTGTTTCATGTGCAATCTCTAATTGATTTGAAAGGATCTACCAGTTCTACTTTATTGTTGCGAATTAATAAATTATCAGGGTGCGTTTATGTTCCTATGCAATATAGATGTGCGTCTTTTTTTGTAAATATAGCACTGTCATTAAGATGTCGTTTAGATAAATCGCGATTTTTAACGATAAAATAGTGAATTATCAACCAGCAAGTCAGATTTTAAAGAAAAATGATTCAGGAAGATCTTCCGCAAGAAATTATTAACCAGGCAGAGGCGACTACAGCACAAATACTGCCAGAAAAGTCTCGTAGGAAATTTATAACACACTAGTTTGTTATAACTTCAAAAACTCACGTGTGTTTTATTTATTTTATATGCATGTATATGTTACGGTTAAGGTGCAATGTCCGGTTAATGTCGACATCTTGGTAATATCGAGAATAACACACAATCAAAAACATAACCAAACAACCAAAAATAGTTTTCATACAGTACGTCTGTCCGTTCTGTAGCTAAGAGGTATCCATGAGAGGGGAAACGATATTCTCTCGAGGTTTTTCGTAAAAAATTAGACGACGCGTTGTGACGACTTTTCTGTCGTTACCCGAATAGAATGAAAAAAGAATCCGTTGCTCAGGGTTAGAGGAAAGCTGGGTTCGTAGGTAAGGCTTCTGACTCACAGTGACTTTCTAATGTTGTTAAAAATTAAAAAAAATGATAACATATATAGGCTGCAGAGATTTTAATATTGATGTTAAGAATTCAAATAGGTATGGTCAAAGACAGTGAAAAGGGCGCCACTTACTTTGTTTATGAGAGTGGTAAAGTAAGAAACCAAAAAGAAAAATACGATATCACAACATAGCTAAAATAAAGTAATCAACAGCATTAAGGGTCTATTATGTTTATCAGGAATAAAAGTCAGAAATATAACTATCCTACATTAAACATTTATTGAAAACGAACACAAGTATCATCAATTAGTCACAGTGATCCCAATAAAACCGCAAGTTATTTTAAATAGATTTGAATTTAGTAACTGTATTCTTTGAACTAAGTAAGCTACTTAATAAAAACAGGTGAAATTTATGTATGTCTCAATACGATGATGTTTCAAACATGTCGTGTACAAAAACCTTTAAAATGAATACGTGTTAATAATTTTCATATAAAATATCATAGCTAAGTAAGAGTGTACTGTACGAATCAAATTATAACTTATAACGTTAAATAAAAAATAATTTTGACTACAATATGTGGGATAAATAGTGATAATTTACCAGGTTATTAAATCTGTTGTCTCAAAATTATAAAATAAAAGCGTACCTTGTGTATCAAACTTAAGAGACTTATCTGTATATAGTTTCTTATGATGTAAACAGGTAGTTAGGTATTCTCCAGACTAACAGAAGTGGATGCAGATGACTATGGCAGGAGAAGTCCTCGACATCAGCCAAAAGAACGATTGTAATGTCAGGAACACTGTCTTAAGGTCTGCATAGGTCCATACAAAATGAAAGTGGGTGAAACATACAATAGTTACCGCATACCATGTGGTAATTACTGAGTACCATGTGGTAGTTACTCTATAAATAAAAAATAGTTCTCAGGACAGATACTAAATAAAAAAAACAACTTACGGTCTGAAAATCAGCTTTACATAAATATATTCAAACCATATGCCGATCCAAACCAGTAATTAAATACTCAAATAAACGAAATAAAAAACGGAAATAACTGACATAGAATTTAGTTAGATATGGCTATATAAAATGGCGGATAAATTTACGGTGATCATTCCAAGAAGAAACCAAACAAATACGATCTATACTCTGGATTGCATACTTTACAAGGTTTTCAAATTTCCAAATCGGATACCCATGCAATGGAAATCGAAAAGTGGATTCAGAGTGCTTTTCACTGGGAAATTTGTCGGACGCCGAAACACGCGTCTTCTTCAGATCCAAATTCTCAGAAAAAAAGACCTTCTTCTCCGTTTCAGAACCGAAGCACAAAAAAACCTTTTCACCACAGACAAAATGAGAGAGAAAAAAGTGATATCATATGATCGAAATCATTAGAACAGAAAATCGCAATCCACAGCGAAGTGAGATTCGGACAAGTGAAATGCAATTGAGGAAGTTTGGCATATAGCGAATAGATGGCGCTAATAAACAAGACAAGTGAACTGTAATAAATGAAGTTTGACATCTAGCGAATAGATGCGCTAATAGAAATTAAATATCGAGACAAGTGAGCTGTAACAAATGGAGTATGGTATCTTTGGCATCTAGCAAATAGATGGCGCCAATACTAAGAAATTTAAATAAAAATAGATTTTTAAATTCAATTTTATTAAAGGAAATAAAAAATGCTACAGCGTCCCATCAATAAAAATTCGACAATTTGCAAGTAGCCAATAAAATGAGTGGGCGGAGCGATTTGCGGTGACGTACTCGTCAAGTCGACGTATAAAATATATTGCTGTTTATTTAAATGTTTTTTGTCCGCATTCCTTTCATAGACACAGATCCAGCAGACGTACTGTATATGTTATATTTTCAGCTACGAGGTTAACCACTGCCGTTCCGGTGTTGCAAAATTGCAAATTTTTCCCCAACTGTACCAACGTGAACTGTCAATTCTACCATCCGAAGCCGTGCATGTACGGGCAATATTGTAAAAATATGGCGGAATGCAGCTTTTCGCACAATTTCCCATTTACAAAAAAGAATTTGAGATGGAAATCTAAGTGAAAAAAGTTGATTTTTCTGTAAAAAAAGTGAAGAAATTTTTAAATATTTTGATGTATCTAGTACAGGAATAGATAGAAGTTGTATATTATTTTTTTTTCTTTATTTTTTTGGACTTAATTGTGATGAAGTATATTTTATTAAAAACGAAGTTAAGTTTGTGTGTGTTTTATTTTTATGTCCCATAGTTTCTAATATTTTTATTATAGTGTAAACATTTATTATTTTATTTCAGGGATGGGTGGGTAAAAAACCTTATTGTAAAAAACTATTTTTTACGTGTAAAAACTAGTTTTTACTTGTAAAAGTCTTAGGAAGTATATACAGGGTGTTCCAGGTTGAGTGCGCATTAGAAGTTTCTAGAGAACTACGATATCTAGATCGGAGATTTTTTGCACATCATTGTTTCACAACGAGACCTATCGATTAAGAATATTTTCAATATGGCGGCACTTCCGGAAATACCGGAAGTTGACAGCAACTTTCTTATTTTAAAAGGGTACCCCATTTTTTATTACATACTTAAATTCTCTGCAAAATTTTATAATTTTTGATATCAAACACTCTATACCTAACCCACAGCTTAAGTAAAAACCAGCTCGGACAGTGTAGCGTGCCGCTTTGATCATTTTACGCTCGGATTTGCGATTCGAAAGAGGGAGAACACTAGAGCAGCGAGCTCTCTCGCCACAACCAATAGCCGCGTAAGCGCCAGTTAGCCAGAGGCGTATTAAAACATTTTTACACGTGACATAAAAAATTATTCGACTGGTGCTAGAACATAATTTAGATACACGTTTTTTAAATTATTGACTTTAAATAAATATGCATTCTCAAAGAAAAACATTTAAAAAACAAAGAAACCAAAAAAAAACCAAATACCTCTGGTTAAATATAAGAAAAAATCGAATTAAAATCTTCCCTAATACGGCCCTACGCGTCACCGGTGGAGGCTATGCATCGACTGAATCACAAAACACATACACAAGAAGAAGTGCGAGCGCCTTGCTAAATATTGGAAAGTGAAATTGACGTTTAAATTTGACACTGTTGACAAGTCTACTGCTACTAGCGCCCCCAATTTCGCTTGTAGGAACTACGGACTAAATTGTCACGCATGGCGGTAAGTTTAAAAAAATAAAAAATTTTATTTCTTCATTTATTTTTAATGACACACAAAAACACAAAAAATACACCATTTTTTAAAAATATGTTTAATATCAATATCAAATATACAACAGAAATTAATTTCACCACAATAAATTAATAAAATTAAAAGAATAATGTTACAAGTAGATCAAGAGACAAAATTAATTATAATAAAACTGAAAAAAATGGCGTCATAGATGGCTTAGAAATAAAAGATATATCATAATTTTGAAAGTAAAATTATATGGGAAATGTCTTCGATCATCATTTTTAAGCCAACTGGACGATTATTTCAAACATACAAGCTGAGTTCGTTCATAGTGCTCTGAGAAATCTAGATAAACAAAGAATAATAAAAGTATTCCAGGGGAAAAGAGAGGAAAAACCTGTATCGTCTCTGATATCTGTCAGGGTATTGTTGAAAGTGTCATCTTTTTGCTCGAAGTTTTCAGGTCGATCAAAAAGATGACATTTACAACAATACTTTGCTGTAACTTTCACAAATATCAGAGAGAGTACATACAGGTATTGCCTCTCTTTTCCTCTGGGATGCTTTATATCTGTTGTTCTTTGTTTATCTATATTTCTCAGAGCATAATGCCGAACACGACTACAGTATATAATAATTTCAATATCCGAAGTGGAAAGAAAAAAGATCACCTTTCTGTTTTGTACTATGGTCCCTTTCTTCCGATGGCTCATCTCGTTGATATTTAGGAAGGATAAATAGGAAGGAAAATATAAAATTCAATTTGATTTGATGATCCTTTTCTGTCACCTAAAATCAGGAGAACGACAATGAGCATGTTAAGATGAAAAAAAAAATTATCAACACTTACCTACACGTTAGTCCGAGGAGTTTTATTAAAAACCTATATATTTGCCTAAATAATTTATGTATTAAATTTGCAAAGCAAAATGCAGCGTGTAAACAAAAGAAATAAAATGGCGACAAGCGACAAGTCAACGTCAACGACCCGACAAGGAGAAAAGTGGTGTTCGAATAACAAATTATGGGTCACCAAAAATTGTTTTTGTCTCCTTTCAACGCACACTTTAGAAAGAAAAAGAGATGAACTGGAATAATGAAAGAACGTCAAGGTTTTATCTGTCACTCTTGTCAATAATTTATCGGTAAGGAAGATTCCTAGAAAATCGCTTGTAGTCAAGTTTTCAACCATTGCCAGTTCTCCCATAAGAAGTGTCATCCACCTGCTATGCATCGACTGAATGAGGCTGACTGTCGCTCGCTTAATTCAGTTAAGCATCGCCGGAGTGGGGCGTTTTAAATTCGAGCGTGGGAAAAATTGGCGAGTGTCCAAGCTATATTATTCTGTAAGCTGTGACCTAACATTAACCGTTTTTGAGAAAAAAAATATTTAAAATTTTTGGAGGAAAAAAACTGCCTATAAAAAAATCTGTGTAGCCTAAAAAACAAATTTAGTGATTACCACAGCCACTGTAGCATAAAGAGCAGACATGTAGCTATCTATTCCAAAAATTAAATTGATCGAAATTCATATAATATTGGCCGTAGCTGTCATGGAATTGAGCAATTAAAAATTATCATAAATTTTTTTTTTTTCAAATGGAAACACTTCTTTTATTTTACTACTGAAAAGGTTTTTTAATTCGTTACTTTTTGATTATACAGAGAAGACCAGGCTACTAATAACATAGCAAGGTGGCGGACGAATTTACGTTTACCCGTTTTGCGTTCGTACTCGAAGCCGAGTCACTGCCGGCTAGTCGGCTGGTCAGGCAGTACGCAGTTGCAGTTGTGCTTGGACGGGTCGGTCGTGACTCGTGACAGACTAAGAGAATATGACGCGAGTGCCGAGTATTTATTATTTTCATTTTAAGTGTTTACCTTCACTTAAGGTAAAAACTAAAAATAAATAAATTCTCTAAACCCAAAAAAAAACTATAATATTACTCTAAATAAAAAAGTTATAACAAGTGTTCAAAAGGCCACCTTGTTGTGCTAGACAGAAGCCCTAGGCGGTCGTAAAATCCCCGTCTGACATTGGCTAACATATTAGGGATAATAGTTTGGAAAGCCTCTTGTATTTTTACTTGAAGCTCATCCATATTATTAGCCCTATTATGACTCCATACACTTTGGATTTTACATAACCCCACAAAAAAGAAATCATTGGGAGAAAGATCTGGTGATCTAGCGGGCCACAAAATAGTTCCATATCCACTAATTAAACGGTTGGGAAAAGTATTGTTCAAATATTCTTGAACAATACGGGCATTGTGGGCAGGGTAACCACCTCAGCAATTTGATTACTTGAAAACGTGGGATTTTGATCCGCGGTAGCACAAACGTTAGCACAAACGTAGCACACGTTCTTCATTAATCAACACATCAGACTTTTTGTGTTTTTGTGGGGACACGCACCCATGTGTTTCAAAATTATTAATAACTCTTGATATAGCAGATAAAGATGGAATTGGCCTGTTTACATAAGTTTGTTGTTGATAAGACCTATTTTGGAAATACCATTTTACAATTTGAATTTTCTCACGAACTTCATAAACATCCATTATTTTACTTAAAAAATAAATTTTACACGAGAACTGTCGCAACGATCTACGTATTCATTTTGGCTATTAAAACACGAATATATACAAATTCTGAAACATTCTTATCACATATCTACCTATTTTTATTTTACCGCATTTTTTCGCCTGCTTTTTATCCGGCGGACGGGTATACGCTAATTCGTCCGGTTCTGCCTATGTTACTACTACTGTGGTCCGGTCTGTATATGTTCCTATATCTAAAATAAATCCTTTTTACCCAAGCAGCATTTGGACGTCGGGACAACGTTGTGTCACGCGACCAAACGTCGGGGCGCAACGTCGGCACAACCTCGTGCCAACCCTAGTCTGCACTAGTTTGGAGAATAATTTTTGGGTCGAAACGACGTTGGATACCGACGTTGGCTAGAAGCCTAATTTAGTACAAACTGCAACGTTGTTTAAAATCCTAATTCACAGAAATACAAAACTAATATGGCGTCTAAGTCGCGTTTTATCCTAAATTGGGATAATTATAGTAAAAATATTATATTTATAATTTAGTTAGAGACATATGTCAGATGGCAGTGAAGGAAAACAAAACAAAAGTATTTAAGTGTGGAGGATGTTTGAAGATCATAATTATTGAAACACTTTAACCGACTCTGTAACTCGTTACCCAAGGTAAAAAGTTAAACGCAAACAACTTTATTGATAAATGTATTGTTTCTACTTTAAAAAATACTAATGGGCCTTGAAATTAAAGAAGTTTTAAAAATTTTCTTGAATTTTTTTTTTAGTAAAATGAGAATAATTTATTCGCATTCGAAAAAATTGTTTCCGCGTATTTTTTAGGGTCAAATATTTCAAGTTAATGTATTCAAAAAGCAGGAATTGCTATTTTAAGAACGAAACATTTTCTTATTTAACAACATGGCGGCTTTAACTTTGTTGTTTTGGAGATTAAGATGGAGTAGTTCGAGTAGTCGCATACTGGACTAATAAAGTCGCAGTTCGGCCTTAACAGGTAGTATACTAGTCGCAAGATTGCCTAATTTAGTCATTCTAGAGTCTAGCTTGTGCCGCCCTCTATAATCTAAATAAACGAGGAAGTGTCGGTAATATATGTCGATGTATATTTAAATTTAGTTTTATATGTACCTTTCTTATGTCCCATTTTAATTAAGTTTTTTTTTTATAAAAACAAAAACAGCACTGAACTGTCTGACTGAACAGAACAATGAATTGAAAATTTAAGATTTAAGGTTATGGTTCAATACAGTTGCAAAAAGGTAGTGACTCTACGTCCTACCAACGTAAGAATAAGGAAATCTAAACAACGTTGGAATTAGTAAAACAGACGACGTTTGCATAACGTTGGAATAGGTCCTGAAACTGACGTCGGAAAACTCTATATTATCCAACGTTGTAACTACGTTGTCCAAATCACCTAAAGATCACTT